CTCCTGCCCCCCTGGATGGGATGCTAGTCCATTGCAGGGTTACCCTCAACATTAAATTCACCTGCACCCATTTGTACACTCCTCCTGGGTGGAGAGGAACTGTGAGAGTAAAGTGTGTTGCCCAAGAACACAACACAATGTCCCCGGTGAGGGCTCAAACTCAGACCGCTTGATCGCTCCTCAAGTGTACAAACCACGAGACCACCGCCCAGTAGATAGAGAAGAGAAGAGTAGACAGAGTAAAAAATATAGCTAACTAAGCAGACTGGTGCTTACTGCTTCAATCTCCTCGCGTGTTACACCATCTCCCAGTCCTACTGTTTCTGGAGCATGACCAGATGTGAATGAACTCCCGGCTGGCAACGTCCTCTCTGCAAAAAATCCCATATCATTGTTCAATATGCGCGGTTATGCATGTCAATCTACTACTAAATTGGTCCTTTGTAAATGAAAGTACTAGTAACTTTTTTCTCAACGATTACTACCAAACAGGAGTAAAGGAAACAAGACTTCTTGCAGTGCGTTTTACAAAACATTTGACAAACAGTTCTCTGTCAACTTCAAAACCAAGTTGCCAACAAGTGAAGAACATTTTCTTGGCATGACATTCAAGTCCTGCCCAGAGAAGGAGACAGTCTCATTCCACTTCTCATTCTCCCACTCTCCTTCTTTTGTTGCGAATAATTTGCATGGGTTCTGGCCACATGAGTGAAAATGCTCTACACATTAATCGTTACTCAATCATTGTCATGAGCGTAGTTGTAAAATACTGGTTATTTTCATGCTGAACTTTTTTAGTTTTGTTACACAGTAAAAATCCAGCATTTTCAATACAGCAAAGATTTTGGAGCATCACTGTGCTCCCACAGCACCTTGCAGTCGTCGCATGTGACTACTGGTTAGCGTCGGCCCAGCAAGCATGCGCCGTTCCTCGTCTGATGGAATGCAATGTAAGAAGTAGAAATCCAAGTGGCGCCAGAGAATAAATAAACAGTTCTCGATAATGTCTGGAAAATAGTCAAGAAAGAAGCTTCCCAGTCTCTGTCTAACCACGGTATTTCAGTACAAATACTTACATTATTTTTCTCGAGTCAAGTTATCAACAGAACTGAATGTTTTCAATTAAAGTTCTTCCATAAGCGACACAATGAAACCGGTATCAAGTGGATCCAATATGAAGTGGACAGGTTGCGTAAAAGGAAAGTGCGCTTTTGTTTCACCAAGTACCTACATTTTATGTTACCACACGCATTAGGTTTTTTTTTTTTTCGTGAAGGATGAGAATGTGTGCTAAGCCGCTTAGGCTGTTAACCTGAACAGAATCCGCTAAACACGATTGTCTATTTCAGGCGACGCTGTGTTGCATGAGATCCAAAAATGGCCACGGAGAAGACTAAATACATGTACAGAATGGCAGTGTTTGAAAGAATTCATCATGACCGACTGATAGTATTTTTATTTGTGAAACGTGTTTAGTGGAAATAATCATGATGATAAAAATTAATAAATTCTTAATACTGAATTAATTTATATGAGTTTGGCATATATACTGTAAGCAAAGTGTCTATCATAAGGAGTTCTTTTTCACGAAAACTTTTATCCAGACATAGATAACGCTAATAAGTTGAATAACAAAATCAAAGGATACACAAATGAGAGGAAATCTCTTGTGCCTTGTACTGTACAATCTGTGTCAGACATTTCTGTGCCAGCTGGTGTCTTTGTTGTGTGGATAATCTTTCTTGAACAGTCCCTCCAAACTGTACTTGACTCAGCTGCAAGGGAACAGAACTGTAACAGTTGTTGTGAAAATTTGGATCGTTAGATAATGTCATTCAAGAGTTTCCTTGGCTTAACCATCATGGTATATGGCCAATTATACCATGCTCCACAAATATGGTAAGCCAATGTGCATTTTTGGGGGGGAGTTTTTATTTTTACTCTTTTTTATTTCAGTTTTCTATATTTTTGGAGCATTTTTAATTGTTAAATATTCGGTGGATTTCTGACAACTGAAGAAAACCCAGAGAAATCAAAACTCACCAATCATTTAACAAAAGCAAATCATATTACGAACCATACAGAGCTTGAAGCAAAAAAAAAAACAACAACAAACAAACAAACAAACAAACAAAAAACAAAAAAGGAACATTTACAAGCAACTGGTGCCAAAGGCGGAGAAACGTAAGTTAACTAAATTGCTTTAATGTGCTGCTGATTGGCCTTGAAAACAGTACACTTGTTTAAATTGGGTATTAGAACTTCTCAGTGTTTAAAAGCATACGATAAATTACAGCAACCCTGTAACTCTTCTCACTAAGGCGCCTAATAAATATTTGTAATCCACAAAGATCAGTTGCTGCGTGGCACAGTAAACAGTTCAAAAGTTGTAAATAGTAATAATTCAGTGCCAAATTAAATTCGATGTTTGTGGCAGATGTTTTGGGCCTAGCCCTTCCTCAGTGCTAAGTTTAGTTATACTAAGTTTAGTTTGCCTAATAGGTCATCAAAGGGACAATGTCCAAGCTGATTATCAAATGATCTCTTAAATTCTAATTTAAAATTACTAAAGTACATTGCCAATTGCCACCAAATAAACAAATACATTGGCTAAAACGATTCTACAGAGCAAAATGGAACAATTATTTTGGGGAAGAAACACGGGAGTACAAGGATAGAAGGAGCATAGGCTGTTCCTGAACAGTGGCTGGTAATTGAGCCTAGGATAGAAGTGGATTACAGCCCATCACATCTGATTTTGTGACATGATGTCAAGAAATCACAATTGCCATTCTGGTAAAATTTTGAAACCTTTAGTTCTCATTTTGTCGTGTTAGTTGAAATTTCTTGGTTTTCACCACTTTTTAGCATTTTTGTCTTTATGCTGCAAGATAATAAGGTAATTTCATTGGAAGACCCTGGTCATACTTATTAATTAAAAACATGATATAATAACTAGACACTGCCCCTTTAGGTTGATGCCTTAATCTCATCTTCCCGAATCCTCGAAAGGTATGAAAAGGGAAAGCTGGATAATCAAGATTTACCAATTACCACATATACACTACAACTATAAAATTCTATTATAGCTATACCTCTCTAAGTTCTTCGCTGGTTAGCTCCATCAGGTTTTGTAGCTTCAAGCGCGCCTGTGAGTACAACTCAGCCGTCTGTTGAATTTCATCACTGCACTTCTTCATGAAAGTCACAGGAAGACAAAGACTGACAGGACGGTAAGACGACACCATGGAGGACGTTCGAAGAGCTGGCAACGATGAGAAATGAAGTGTCACAACATAATGGCACTGCCAAGCTGGATTATTCATTGTTTCATGTCTCAGCTAGTTAATCCATAGAGCGCTTTACAAAATACTTCTTGTAAAGTCCAAAACCGATCGTCAAACTCTAATGACCCAATAAACTAGTCAGAACTTGAAGCAAACAGGGAAAAAGTGCAAACAATGCAATATAATACATTCAAATTTATCATCGGTTAGAGGCCGTGAAATCGCCAACCTTTTCTCATTTCTACTCTTTATTCGCGTGGAGGCGCGGTGGCCTCATGGTTAGTGTACTTGTCTCTGGATCGAGTGGTCTGGGTTCAAGCCCTGGCCAGAGACATTGCATTGTGTTCTTGGGCAAGACACTTTACTCATGTAGTACCTCTCTCCATCCAGGTGTATAAACGGGTACCGGTGAACTTAATGCTGGGGGTAACATCCAGGGAGGAGTAATCCTAGTCGCTTCATGCCACACAAACTGGAGATAAGCGTGGGACTGATGGGCCTCTTGGCTCGTATGCAGACTTTACCTTTACTTGTTTATTTGTGCAATTGATCATTTCTATTTAATGTTTTGTTGGTTTTGATTTATTTATTCACCACACATGGAAAAAATGTATTCCACAGTATCATAGTAAAATAAGGAGAATACTCCTAGTCCGATATTCTGTACACAAAATTTACATGTAAAGTTTTTGTTTTTCTTACCTTCTCTTGTCAGATGAGAATCACGAGTTAGCGAGTCTGTCAAGCTTGGCGAAAACAGCACATGACAATGAGCAGGAACAGAACCTGGCAAAGAAAGAGAGGCAGTAGAAGGGTTACAAATTTGTAATAATTATTAGTATTCAAGGCCTGTTCACAATAATTTGGCCTAATTTCTGGAATAGACTTGTGTTCACACTAAAGTGGTGTTTACGGTCAAACAGATCTTTTCGTAAACACCTTCCAGAGTGACGAAATATAAAAACGCTGGCGAGGGAAGGAGGCAGCAATTTGTTCACAAATTAACAGCGTGGATGAAAATGCTTTTTTGGGGAAATTTATCCAATTAGAGTGGATGAGGCCTAATTTAAGTTCACTGATCATTCAACAAACTGATGTTAACAGCGCCTTTTAATAACACGTGAACACTACTCAATCAGCAGCTCGTGATTCGATGCCATCAATCATTTAAGTGGACCTATCAACACAGCAGTTTGCTCCCACGGCTTTCAAAGGTCACATCAATGAAAACTTTATGATTAGTACATTAGATCAATTCTGTTCAGATGTTTCTTCTTTTCAAGGTTGGTTAGTTGTCGTCGTAATTATAATTGATGACAGCCAAAAATTGCTGGGGTGGATCTAGGTGGGTTCAGTCCAACCCCCTAAATTAAAAAAAAAAAAAAGACATTATTACCCGCTGACTTGGCCTCAGTTTCACAAATTTTCCGGGGAAGAACGCCCCCGGACCTCCCTACAGGAGACAGCCTTCAGCAGTCCTATCCCAAACCCCCCTCTCTAAAATTCTGTATCTGCCCCAGAAAATGCAATCCCTAATTATAGTTTGAACTTCAGAGTTTGCGTGCTATCAAAAGGTACAGTAAATAATGCCACAAGACTACAAGCCACGAGTTTCTATCAAGTGATAACAGCCTATCAAACTTCTGAGAACCCGAATGAGAGCAAGTGGTCTTTTCCACCAAAATTAAAATATTGAACACCTAGCTTACCAACTGAGTTCATTACTGTTCTGCAGTAACCAACGACGTTAGAACAGATTCTCTGCAATTTTTGGGTAGTTTCCATGGCAACAACACTGTACTTGGTTCCAGGTTCCTCATTGTTTTGCTCCATCACAGATTTAATGATCTACAATTACACGAAAGTGAGACTAGAAATTAATAACAAAAAAATCAATAGAAATACTTTCCCTTGAAATTTACAGTTTGATAAAGCAGTAGTGTTGTTTGGCTTTGGAGGGCGGAAGACATCCTTACGTGGTCATTGAAAATGGTCAAAAGTTAGTGATACCCAGTTTACCTTCTCCCAGTTTTCACTGGAGCAATATCTCCGTAACAACCCAATCATGAGGCGTTGGATCCTTGCCAGGGGTCCCCTGAGCTGTAATTGCTCCTGTCCCAGTTCACTGTCTGTAGTGAGAGTGACCTCAGTGAGTCCCATGTTGCACACAATTCCTGTGACAAGGCCAAGTTCCTGTAGTGAGCCGCACGAGTGTACAGCTTGTCGGTCTTGAAGAATGCTGATGAAAACGTCCACGTGAGACACAACAAAGTGCAAAACCTGTAATCAAAAGACACTGTTATTTGGCATCACAAGTAAACATATCAAACAATACTATGTTTAGTTCGTATAGTGTGATCGTCGGGGTGAGGGTAGTTCTGAAAAGAACTGTTGTTGGTGACTGATGTTTCGACAACCTGAGCGGAAGTCATCTTCAGAGTCAAGTGAATGATGTTTGTCAGTCCATGATGTTATAAGTCTCCTGTACAAAAGTTACTTTTTCTTCTCCTTTGCAATTCTGGGCATTGCCGAAACAAGTTAAGCTCCTTCTTAGTAGGATGTTGTATCTAAGGTAACAAGGTTCTTCATTGTGAAACCTATAAAAAGCTACAGGTGATTTTTAATTGTATAGTTATTTCCATAAGGAAGCACATGGTTACAGCACTGAAGCCCATATGAATTACCTTTGAAGCTAGCTCCTTGTGAGCTTGTGATCCAAGGGAAGTAAGCATGGCCAGTGAAACTTTAAGAGCTGGCATTAAGAGCTGTCTGTATCTCTCCACTACAGTGGGAACAAATGAGTCCAGCAAAACACTGCTTGTGTCTTGATCATGAGCGTACAAGTCACTAGACACCAGGCCCGCTCTCTTATCGTGCTCAGGTCTTCTATCAAGGAAGGTACATTCTGCCAAGCGTGATAAAAGCCCTGCTTGAAGAAGCACCTTAGTTCCTTCTGAAGACTGGGCCACACGAGTCAACAGAGCCATTTTAGATTCATAGATGTACAAAGCCTATAGTAAAATAAAACAATAGAGTTTATGTTCGTGGGTATAAAAGATATGTTTTGGGCCCGACTCAGACCCATTTTAGCTGAGCTACTAGGCAAGGGTTAAAATGAACTCTGAAAAGGGCCCAAAATATATTTTTGTCCAATAACATAAACTGTATTACTTTTATTATCACTATGGAGGGCATTGAGAAAATAAGGACTGGAAAAAAAATGACATCAAAACAGTCTGTACAATGACAGGAGCATTTACAAGTTGAACAGCATTTAATTCTGTTCACTGGAAATACACAATAGATCAAGCAAAGCTGGCTAGAAAGTACAAAATCTTGCCATTTGAGTTTTCAAAAATCATGCAAGACATGAAAAGAAAGTTCGATAAAGCTTATTATTGTAAGTGTTGAAATTTCAGCACAAACAAGCACCACAGTGCTCAACAAAGTGATAATAACAGCTTTTGTGTGGCATTCTGGTCAAAACTGGACATAACTGATATGTATGTAAATAAATACTAACAATTTAATCTAACCACACTGGAATAGAAACACTTTCAGCGTAGAAGTTCACAGGAAACGCATTACCTTAAGGGGCTCAGGTGATGGGTCCAACATTGATTGCAACATGTGGTCCTCATGTGCAAGCCCCTCGACCATATGTTTGAGGTAGCCTTTCAGGTTAAGATAGTTTAACCAACGGTGTTGCCAGTCAACAGCAATTATTGCATCCAGAAGAGAAAACGCCAACATCTGTAAGTGCCACTTTAGTAAGTCAATGTAAATTTATTTTGCTTTAAGAGTGACTGAATATATTAGACCTACATACAACTTACTGTACTTTAAATACATACTACAGTAATCTCATAGGCATAATTTCAGATGTTACTAAGTTGGAGTAAGTGGCTTGAAACTAGCTCAAGTTTATAACAAGCTCCATTTCTTCCAGAAAAAACCCTCCACCATATGCTGTGACTATGACAGCATTCAGTTGTTTCCCACCAAAATCTCAATACTGCTCCTTCAACTACAATGAACCAGGTCTAGTGTAATGCAGCAAATACACCAATCAGACCAAACATGCACTTTGTTTCGACCAATCAGGAGCAAAAGTCAAAACCTATCACAGCTAGGCTTACCCATGTTTCCTGCACTTGCTATGTGTTGCATGCTTTTGCTCTGAGTTTAGACTGTCTTACTGAAACTGTTTACAGTGATATTTTATTCCTGACCATTGACAGTTATATGAAAATCAGTCTTGCTCCTATGTATATCCTGGTCAGGAAAGGGTTTTTTTCTTTCTCTTGTTTGCATAAAGACAAACAAATAGAGTGAAATCAGGGCAGTAGTGGAAACTTCAGGGGTGGGGGAAGGAGGTATTTTCTGAGGTTTATGGAAGAGAGCATACTGACCCGTCCTACATCATGACCATCACAGGAGTCTCTACAGACCACATCCATGAAAGGCTCACCATAACTAGACAACACAGGTAGAATACTGGTGTCCCAGGACTGGCTAGGGTACAGTGACAACACACTCTCCATCACACCTGCAATATTCAATACATTAATGTTAGTATTCCTATCTGCATCTTGGACGGTTTCAACAGTGATCATACGGCCCTGTATTGGTTAACTTGTTAGTCTTCAAATCAGGCATTATCTTCCCTCATGTTGCAGTCATTAAGAGGAAAGATTGCATGATGAGTCAAAGAATGTCTAAGTATTACAGGAGAGGGGGAATGCAGTTTTGTGGACACTCAAGGAAGTTTTTGGAAGTGAAGTACAAAAGCTATGTCAGTAGTGGAAGGGCAGGTTTTATTGGTCTATAATTGACTATTAGGTAGTTGCAGTTGTCATGTGAGAAGAATGAAACAAGTATTTTTATGGCTCATCGGCAAAGGTAACCACTAGAATTTGCAAGCACTGCGTACCTCTTTCCTTAGTTTGATGAGACTCTGGTGCAGTCTGCATAAAGTACAGCAGAGCAGCATACAGGTTGGCTCTCACCCTCTGTAGACCTCCTCCGGAGCGGAGCACTGTTTCAATGAGACCTTTTAATATGGCTATAGATGGACCAACAGGGAGAGAACCACCAGCTTCTGGAAGATGCTGGCCTCCTCCCATGCCATCTACAACCAGGTGTGTGGCTGGCGGATTTGTGGAAATGGAAGACTGGCGCAGATGTGCCATGAGAGTGAGAATGACTCCGGAGACTGGTGAGGTAAGTTCTGGCAGTGCATTCTCATCTGCAATCTAAGCAAATAAAATTGATGTTGGTGGAAATGTACTAATTTTATGGCTGGGCCCACGACTAACTGCCAGCTTGCACTAGGTGTTTGGCCACAGAGAGGTGCCTTCTAAAGGACAGTCTGCATTAATTAAGGGAGATGCTTTGTTTGGTGGGCATTGCCACCAGGTAACTGATTGCTTACCATTGTAGGATTCACAGACTGACACTGAGCCTTTTTTTCCAAGAGCTGTTCAAGGACTGCATTCACTTTCAGCAGTATTATTTTAAGGAATCATTTTCTTTAGAACCTCCAGGGCTTTCATTAAGGGCTGGGCAAATTGACCAGCTGTGAAGTTAATTTTGCCCACCTGGTTTGAGCATCTACAGGAAAGTTTGTCTTATAAAAAAGTTCAGTTCAAAAAATTTTGCCGCCTGTAAAAACCAGTAGCCTTGCTGCTAAAAACATTAATGAAACCCCTGGAACCTCATGTTACATTTGTTTGGGTAGATGGGGAGGGGAGGGGGGGGACAACATACAGAATGCTCAAGACCCCTTTGCAGGCAGGATCCCTCTGGGATTCACTCAAATCTCCTTCATCAAATTCTTGCAGTCCTACATGTAAGTATTCATTAAAAGAGCTTCTCCATAAACTTCAAGAAATGCTGGTAAAATTCAGGAGCGTTAAAAAGAGAAAAGCTAAATTTTTCACTTTTACAACATTTTCAAGGGTATGGAAATTTTTCAAGGACTTTTCAGTGCCTGTGCAAACAGCCATTCCCTGAATAATGATAAAAAATCCTTAATGCCAAAAAAGGTCCATTAAAATACCCTTTATAATGTACCTTGGATAGTAAATCCTGCAGCACTTCTGCTATAACAGTCTGTCTTGTGTCTTTTGGTAAAATATCAGCAGGACAGGAAGCTAGAGTGACCTCTGTAACACGTCTCCAAGCCTCAAATACTTCTTTCTTGATATGCATGCTCTCTCGCACCATGTTGCGTAGCACAACATTTTGAAGGATGTCTTTGACTTCCTTTACAAAACAAAAACAAATTAGTCAGTAAGTCCAATATTTATTATAACTTGGCAAAAAAAGATAAAATTAAAATCTCTCAGTGACCACATGCAACAAAAACTCACCGCAGAGTTTAGCTGCATAAAAGCACATTAATTAACACTACAATACAGGATTGCAAGTGCTGCCAGGTTCCTGTTGTTCTTTTATACAATCGGAGTAGTAATCAGAAGCGTAGAGCAATACGATCTAGTGAAAATCAAACCGGCGGAGTCAGAAGCAGAGCAACGATTCCACTTATGCTCTGTCGCTTACGATCTAGAGAAAACTGCACTGTCAGAGTAACAAGCACAAGCGGAAGAATAAACCAGTCACAATGTATGATGCTGGGCTTTGTGATTGGTTGGTTCTTCAGCCTCTGCTTCCGACTCTGACAATCTAGTTTTCACTGGATCATGAGCGACGGAGTCATAAATGGAATCAGAAGAAGTAGAAACGTTCTCATTCTTCCAACTCCAATTCCGTTGAGCTTCTGACTCCGCTTACAACTCGAATTTTCGATTTTCACTAGGTCATAAGTGCTCTTACGACTCTGACTATGACTCCGACTACGACTCCATCACTAGTGAAAACCAGCCTTTAAGGGTAATCTTATTGAGACAAAAAAGCAAGAAATTGTTATACATGTAGAGTGTAATAATACCATATCGACAATCTACATGCAATCCTGTGGTAACTGTTTCAACAGTCAGGTAAAATCACTACAGCTTGAACATGTATTACTTGACTACCTACTATTAGCGAGATGGGGTTTGATGTTGTAGATATTTTTGTAATCTACTACTTATAATGCATCAGGATTATACACCACTAACCTGTAACAAGAAGTTTCTCTGTCCGACTGTTGAAGTTCCCTGGACTCCACTGATCTCACCCATTAGTAGCTTATGAAGAACAGGGACATTACAAAACATCACACTAGTGTCCTCAGATTTCTGTTCACAGGAAGCTATAGCCTTCTCGGTGACAGCCACGTCAAAGTAATTCAAGTGCAAGGGTGGAGGCACGTCTTGGCTGAATTCTATTGATTCAAGAATGCTGAGAAGTTTTCTTCGAGTCTGCACCTGTCCCATGTCAGGATACGTAACATGGCTGGTGTCAGCTGTTGTGAAATCATCTTCTAACCTTCTTGGCACCAACTCTGGTAAATGCATTCCAAGGACTGCCTGGGCCGATGGCTCACCCATCAAGAGCCCCAGAAGCCTTTGAGCATGTGATCTTTGTCTTCCTTGAGCTGTCATGCGCAGTTCAATAGCAGTAGTCTTAAGAAGCCATGACTGTTGACTGACAATGGTCAGCACTGGAATTGGCATCTGTACTTCATTTGTGTCCATACTCACAAGATTCTTGAAAGGCAAATGTTTAAGATGTCGGTACAAGAAATCATGGCTTGTTCTGAGGTAGCGCAGTGTTGGGGTTGCAGTGTCTTTATTGGCACACAGACTGTAAATAAGCTGGTATGCAAGCTCTGCAAATTTGGGAGTTTCTGTCAAACATGAAGGGCCATGATGGGTATCTACTCCTCTGTTGAGTATGTCCAGAACAGCGTGAAGACAAGTCTTCGAAGCACCAAGCACTCCTGTTACAAATTGAAAATTATGTTTTGTGAAAACGTACAAGTACCACCGAGATTTCAATAAAAGCTCTTCCACAATTGACAAAATCCCCTCATGTAATGGTAACAACAGTGATAACAATAACGATAATAATGAACCAAACACCTCATATAATTTTTCTCTCTGGATAAAAGACTCTTACGGATAATGAAAAAAAAATATATTTTGCTAATAGAAAATGTAAGGAATCCCAACTGGCCAATGGAAGGGTAGTTGTCCATTTTCAAGTATGGCTGAAAAGTTGAACTTAGATCTACTGTGAAACGACTCTAACTAGCAGCTAGAACAGGATTTCAATCCAGGACCTCAGGATTTGAAGTCTGGCACCCTAACCGCTTGGCGACACATGCATGCAGAAGTGTATTTTATCATTTTTCTACCTGGATCCTGGAGATTGGTCTTGCTCACAGGTTTTCTAAGCTCATAACCCATTAAGAAATGAGCCAAATTAGGCGATGGGTGCTGCAGTGAATGTAACACTAATCTCAGCACATTTTGTCTACCAGCATTACGAATCTGCGACACCTCATACGACTTCTCATCTATAAAGTCTATGGGGAAATGAAAGGAAAAAAAGACATTTTGCAGCTATATAATACAAATGTAGTTATTATTAAATGCATTGCTTAGGGAGGAATGAGCTGGATTTTAAATGGGACGGAGCTGCACAGACCAAATTGCCTCACTACATATTATTGTGGAGCAGTCAGTTGGATGGCAGTCATCAGTATATATTTGTTTTGAAGACTTTGCAAAAGTCTTTCACAGTATCACAGAGACATACTATTTAACCTCATCAGAAAATTTTAAGAAGGCTTCAAAGCAAAGATTGTTCACAATGGACACGACTGAGTCCTTTGACATGCTTACTGGCATAAGGAAATGATGTCTCCTATCTCCCCTTCTGTTTCTAGTTGCCCTTGATTGGGTGATGAGGCAAACCTTTAGCAGATTAGTACAAGGAATTCAGTGGCAATTGACAAAAAGGTAACAAGACCTGGAATATGCGGATGACCTGGCCCTGCTAAACCACAGGGCTGCAAGATGGAGGACTAAGATGGAGGACTTGATGGTCAATGGCAAAAGGTCAGATCTCAAAGTTGACAGTGATAAGAACAAAATGATGAAGGTAATGACCACCCAAGCGAGAGGTGTAAGAATTGGACAAGATCTGTTAGAGGAATTATTTCAGTATCTGCGTAGCATCATCAACATAACAGATGGCACCAATGAAGATATCGTTGGTCACATATCAAAGGTTAGACAGGTGTTTGCAATGTTGAAACCAGTATGGAGAAGTTCTCCTCTGTCATGCAAGACAAAACATACATGTAGGATCTTTTCGTCTAATGTCAAGTTAGTCCTACTCTACCGGGCAGAGACTTGCAGGACCATTAAAGACCTGGTAAACAAGATCCAAGGTTTTGTTAACAAGTGCCTGTGGAGCCTTCTTGGCATAAGATGGCCAGAGGAGATTTAGAACTGAGGATCTGTGGCAACTGACAGGTCAGAAACCTTTGGAACTTGAGTTGAAAAAAAGGGCTTGGCAGTGGATTGGTCACACTCTCAGGTCGAGACCTGACAGCAGTATAGCAAAGGCAACATTGGAGTGGAACCTGCAGGAGAAACGAAGGCTGTGGAGACTGAGCCAGTCACGGAGGCAAGCTCACATGGCGGAGCTAAAGGAACAGGGAACAACTTGGGCTGCCACAAAGAAAGTTGGGCAAAACAGGACCTGCTGGAAAGGGATGTTTACAGGCTTATGCTCTGCTAGGAGGTACAGATTCACCATGAAATTACAACTCAAGAAGCTTAAAAGCCAACTATTAGACTTTCAGCAATATTTTGCAGTAGCATAATTTTGTGACCAGCCTCACAAGAAAGTGACCACAAAAATAATTTAAAGCATTTCCCATGACAAGAACTGGGCCACTTCTGGCCCAGTTAACAAGTTATTAAAGGTAAATTTGTAACAACAGCAAAAGTTTCCTTTAACTTGTAACCATGATTAATACATCTGGGTAAGCATTATGAGAGTCAAGTGTCTAGACTTATACTGACCTCTCCCAAGTTCTTGTTCATCTTTTTCACGATGGTCTTCAGGTTCATTTATTTCTAACTGGTCCACGAATCCAATTAGGATTTGCTGAGAGACTGACTGTAAAACAAAACAACAAATAATATTATTAGAATGCTTGACACAGAACACACACTTGTCTAGATCCTCTCTGATGGTGTTCAACAGACAAAGTTTACTCTGACTCGCTCTCACCTGATTGGCTGTCAAGAGATTCACTAGGTGTCTCTGAACAGTTGTTGATTGACAGACAAGACACAAGATCTTAACAACGGACAGACTGACTTCAGCTCCAGTGTGAAGATGAGAAACAAATCTAAAATAAGAAAACAATTTAAAATCCACTTAATTTACAGTTGAGATTGATCGATAAGATACACTACTAATGAGCTGGGTTGATCTGTATGAAGTATTTACAATGGAGAACCAAATCAACCATTGTAACTACATGTGCCAGTGCAGATCGGACATGAATGTTGCATCAAGATGATAAAACATCTAATTGTTATTTTCAAGCCTAAAAACAATAAAATGATGTGATCAATTGATCCAATTCCGTATCAAAGTTGCAAAAGGCTTATTCGGTATAATTAAAATAACAAAAAGCACATTCTGTAGATGGGGTTTATTGTACATGTATGTATAGTGAGAATTTTAGGCAATAAACCTTGCAAATAAAATTCTATATGTGCTATATTTTTGCATGTGAAAAAAGCGATACGTCCAATCAGCTTTGTGTAGGGCATTTGTCACATGTGAAAAATATAATCAATCACCATCCAGAGTAGAATCACTAAGCCAATCAGAGCAAAGCACTCAAATGGCTTCCGAGTCAAGGTCCATTAACACGCAAAAAAATAACAAGGCCAATATCCAGCAATCTTGACCAAACAATCGTGGTCAGTAAAATTTATATGATTTATTATATGGAAAAGAGAACACTTTTCTATTTTATTGCAGGACACGGCGGGTTATCCCTAGCAGGCAACATAGCGCTACATGTATCTTGCCCGCTCGTGTAGCCAGTCACAGTGCAGGATTCTGTTCAACTTGCCCGCTCATGGAGCTACAGTAGTCTTAATTATACTGTAACAAGATACTTTATTTTGCAGTAGGGAATACATCTATAGTAAGTATTAGACAAGTGTAACGGTGAATTTAAACCCTGACATCAGTGCTTACTTCATTATTTTCAGCAGATAGTCTGGAGCACCTGACTGTGGATTAACACTAAGAAGTAAATCTTCCAAAGGAGAGACCAACACTGATGACTGCTGAGGCACACTGCGGAACATGTCTACGAACTGCTCTTGCTTTTCCAAAGCAATTTCAATCATTCTCAGGCACAGCAAGGCTGCCTTTTCCAGTTCTTCTCTTCCATCTACACATTTTGCAAAATTTAATAAGATCACACTGTTTAATACCAATAAACTGAATGCAATGAGAAATACCTGGGCCATGTAGTGAAATTATGTGAATTTAGTCTCTAAGAAATTCTTAGTCTTGCAGAAGAGAATTTCAGACAAATTTCACAGGTCTTGTCATCTCTAGTGTTTTTTTTTTCCACACTGTTTAAATTAGAGTCTTAGTTAGTTAATCTTGTCCAGCTAAAAAATGTTTAGTCAAGCAGAAATTTATTTCAGAAAAACTCACAGCCCTTGTCATCTGAAAGTTCTTGGCAACACTGATAGACCTCAGAGTCTCAGTTTATCTTGTAAGGTAAAAACGGTATCAGTCTTGTATGTCTCGTCATCTCAAATGTTTTTGCCAAACTGTTTTTGAGTCTCAATTTATCTTGTAAGGCTTAGAAAGTCTCAGTCTTGCAGAAAAGATGTTAGCCTCGCCTTCTTGCAACATTTAAAATTCACCCCTTACATCTCCTAGTAAGGGGAGGTACTGTTAGAAGAGGATCTTGGCCACGAACACATCATGAACATTCAACCAGGGTTCACAATGGGAGCTCTCGATTTCAATCATTAGGCAACAACTATGTGCACCTTCTACCAGTTTCACTTTAAGACAATTACACATAATTAAAATAATTATAGCAAACCAAGGACAGATAGAGTGGTTTACATTTGAGTGTCAAAAAGTTATTGGCCAAGTTTAATTTGTTATCACTATGCTATACGATTAGTATAAACAACCCATGCCACTTTCTGATCCAATCAGAAGTCCAACCAAAACCAATCATAACTCATTCACATACTTTGCATTGGCAACATGTAATTACTTTGAGTTTTGATTGGTTCACTGTATTGTCTTTTCCCTATATGATTGGCTAGAGTGATTGCTTTGGTTTTGGTTTTACCACATTCAACTGAAAATCCCTCTAATGATTTGTCATTGACAGAAACTAAATTTTACCTGAGGCAACAGAGAGATGTTCAAGTGAAGATGATGCAACATCTGTGATATTCAGCAACTGCATGAGCATTCAAAGATGTAAATTAACAGAAATTACAATTTAAATTATACTGAACAACAATGAAAATTATAACCAAGTTAACATGAAAGGGTGAACTGAATTTTCAGCAATTGAATCAGCTTGAAACAAGGCTCAAACACACTCACCATTCTCAACATGGGTGTGTCATTCAACATGTACATCATGAGGCTAAACCCAGGGGGCTTGGGTACCAGAATCCTCTCTCCACCTTGGATCTCCACAAACTGGTCAACAAAATCTTCTGGCTTTGGGGTATAACCCTCAAGTAACTTGAACAAGATCTGCAGAACAGCACTGGCAACTTTCCACTGTAAACAGAATCAATGTCGGACACCCATTAATTAATTTCAAGTGACTGGATCACCATTTATTGCTACAACTGAGTGACTCTTGAAATCATTTTTCAAAACTTGCGTGCTAGAAATTGCAAATTTAAAGCACGTCCAAGAAAATAGAAACATGAAGCTTGAAAATGAATTCCAAAAACTGTCAATATTTAAACATTTATATGCGCACTTTCAAAAATTACAAAAAAACAAGGGAACGTTCTAGCCTAGAACCTTTCATTACCCGAAACTTGCTAACTAGAAAATAAAAGGTCACAAGTGAGAAAATGAAAATTCAGCAATGACACCTGAAACTTTCAGAAACTCCACCATAGTGTACAAAATGAAAGTGGGTGTCTGATAGTCTGAGACTAGTGGATTTTGCAGCCCACAAGTCGATTTTGTCCTTCATTTGCCCATTTTTCTTTCAAAATCTTTTGAGGAAATTCAAATTACAGAAATACTGTAAGAAACGCATTTTGGGGGCTAGTGAGAATGACTTTTGGGTCAGTACATCATACATGGTTACAGCTTGCAGCAAAGGCAAGCCCAAAAATTAGTTTCCTTTGCATCCTGACCATAGCTTTCAAGGTTGACTGTGTACAGGTTTTGTAACTTGAGCAATGATACTGAAAGCCAAGGGGACCAGGATTTATAAGATAGGCTTTTGGCATCAACAGCCTGCCATGCTGTAATTTGACACATACACGCAAATTCACACATACACACATTCTGAGTACAGGTAAAACAATTGTGGTAATTAAACCAAAAAGTAAAGATTTGTGACTCAAGATCTAGACCTAAAATACACAGCAAGGAGCATATTAAACACGTTATATTAAATTAACTACCTTTTCATTGGGATCTTGATATGCTCTTGAATTGAACTTCAGAAACACATCATCTCTCACAAAAGCCAGGTAGGGTTCAAACCCAGGCACCCTATAACCTGCTCCCAGGGTGGCTGGAAGGGGAATCTCTGTCAAATTAGTCAGAAGTTTGAGAAATGCTCTAGTCTCAGGATATGTCTCGCTGCGGGCTTCAAGCTCATTTAATTCAACCTAGAGAGGGTAGAGCAATAACATACAAGCATAAATGATTATTACATAGATTGAGGTAAACTTACCTTAATACTAACCCTAGGTTTGCACAATAACCATTTGTGTAACTCCACGTGAAATGCTCAGACCAGAACTTTTTCTACTGCAATTCATGGTAGAACTAGTTAATATTTTGACCGAGGGAAAATTACTTTGTCGTGTTTGGCTGTCTGGAAAAATTACAAATTCTTCTTATTGGCTGCGTGTGGTGTTACATATACATCATGTAAGTTTTTGCAATCTATTATTACCTGTATTCCACCCTGTTGAATAGCTTGGCTTGTTGGGTTTACAGTCTGCAGAATCTGTACAGAATAGTACAAGATTTAGAACAACTGCAAGTGATTATGAATGCAGTCCTCATAAATTATTATCTCTTGAAAGACATTTAACATGCCTAAATCTTATCTGGCAAGTTATAAACAATTATTGCTGTGGAGAACATTTATTTAGAGAATTTAGCAGAAGACGGGGGCACTTAATTGAGGGGGGCAGGGGGCACTTAATTGAGGGGGGGAGGGGGCACTTAATTGAGGGGGGAAGGGAGCACTTAATTGAGGGGGGGAGGGGCCACTTATTTAATTTTCCTAAATTGTGGTCTGACATAATCTTTTAGATACACCATCTGTGCATAAACAACAATGAGTGGGGGTGGTGGAGGGGGAGAGGGTAATTCGAGGATTTACACTGTAGTTATATTTAGTTAAACCTGTATCTTTTTAACTTGCCTGTGATTGTTCCAGAGTATGCCACAAAGAGTAAGCAATTTCAGGAGATTTTGCAAAGGCTGCAAGGGTTAAGAGAATTTGGGCCTTGAGCCTGTGGGGCACAGGGCAGCCAAGCAAGCCAAACAAAGATGCAACAGGAAGCCATGCTTGACTTTCACACATGGCCAGCCGGGCTTTATCATCCTACATGTATAGAGGAGAAAAAATTAATAGAAAAGTAATCATGATTCTCTGGCTGCTGAGGAAATGTTTCCATATAAATAAGATTTCTGTGCAGAGACAATAGAGAGATCAAGTAACTATATTTCTGTGGTTGACACCAGATTACTATTGATTCTGCCAACTTTCTTTCTATCTGTTAGATACTTGAGAATAGAAAATACCTCAGACACCAATTCACATCAAACACAGAAAAACTCACTTTCATATACAACTGTAAACAGCAGATGGCAAAAGTCACATTTTTGCTGTTTGCTGGAGAAACAAATCTGTTGCCTTATCTCTTAATTGGCTGGTTACAAGTAACTTACAGTAAAAAGCAGCAGTGGTAACAGGCTCCAAGTGAGCTATATGAATTATTATTATTATTATTATTATTATTATTATTATTAATTATACAAAACTCTAAGAGTTGGTGTTTAAAAGATAAGACAGTTTTGTGCAGCAGAAAGCTGCTTTGATAGATGGCTTTACAGTGAAAGGATCTTGTAGTGGAAAAGAAACTGAATGCATGGACTTCACAGGGTTGTAATTAGTACATGCGTATAATGACTGTATACTAACAGTGTATATGTATATATAGCAGCACTCACAAAAAAATTTCCTTCTGGGCAAGTAGCTTTTCATTCTCACTTGCCCAATGGGCAAGGGATCAGGCAAGTCATTTGCTAACTAAAACATCAAAACAGCAAAGTACATGTAAGACTTGCCCAGGGCAAATTTGAGAGCTACTTGTCCCTGGAGTAAACTAGAATTGAATACAAGTGTTTGTTTTTTTTGTTTTTTTGTTTTGTTTTTTTCCGAGCTCTGTATAGTATACAGTATACAGTCTTGTCTCAAGATCTATGTCAAGAGAAATGACATCCATCTTGTTTCTCTCAGGTTCTTCTTGAGCTTCACTGAGCAATTTCATTTCTCTCACAGTTGACAAAAAATATTAGAATTATTTATTTTTTATGTACAATGTATGTATGTGTAATTTCCTACTTGATCAGCTACTCTTTCTGTCAGTTTCAACACAGCCTCTAAGCCATCTAATTCTTCAGGTGTTATGTTGCGGTTTGATAGGTGTGGTCTATGAACATGGCCTGTTTCTCTCGCCAAGCCACCATACATCATAACTGAAAAATATACAACGACATGTACATTGATCCAAGTCCATAAGGAAGACATAGGTTACAAGTATAACATATGCTGCCCAAAATAATTATGACAAGGCTGGACATCTTACTGCTTAGGAAATGATTCTTTTTTTTGCATAACCCCTATTATTATACATTGAATTCACTATCTCTTTTCTGATTGGCCGAATGCGTACAGTGAATTTTCTAAATCAACCCCTGTGACTTCATCTTGCATGTTTGGTGTTTCTCCAAATAGCATTTTCTTTCATTATATTCATTTCTTCTTCAGAGACATCGACAAAGCGAGAGGCAGCCATTTTGAAAGTTAGTCGGAGGTGAATATAGTGGAATATTATGCTGGCCATTATCGACCAATGAGAGCGTGAGAATTTCTATAATCACCTGAGTAATTATACTAATTCTGGATATCACATAAACCTCCTCCAATAATTGTTTATTTAACTACAGCCTATGACACGACAATTAGCTAGGTGATCACATACATGTAGAATAGTGCTAGATAACTCAGTCTACAAAGTATTTTTTTTTTTAAGAAAGTGTTCTCAGATGTGCACTTAAAATATTTCCCTGTCTCACCTGTGTGGGCACCATCCTGTCTAAGATCCATGTAATATTGTTTAATAGAAGCAAAGAAGTGATCCCAAGACAAAGGGCCATTTGCAGTGGACTTGAGCAGGTTGAAGCAGTGATGAGCAGCCTGAGGGCTGTTTGCAAGTCCACTTAGCATCTCAATGTATGGGACAAACAGAGGAGGAGGTAACAAATCTCCAGCCAGCCGTACAAACTTGTTGAGGCTCACCTTACAAACAAAACCGGAAAAAAATGTATGGTTCCTACATGTATAACCTATGTCTATCTTAAATGAGATAATAAAGCTCACAATGTAAATAACTATATCACGGTAGATGTTGAAATTAAAGGGAATGTACAACATGTTGGGTACAATGTAAATTGCTTTCTCCCTTCCCTCTTCCCAAAATACAGCCACCCTTTTAAAACAAGCCCCAAAATCTCATTGTGACAATTGGTCTGATAACAAGTTCAGTGTGCTAGCAATATGGCAATATGTCTCCCACAGGAAAGCTAAATGTAGTATATTCATTTGAGAATTTGCACATGATTCAATCACCAGGTCTGACATAAAGTTTTAAAACACTTATCCAGTTACCTTGGTCTTCACACCCATAACAACCTTGGTGCTTTGTGGGTGAATTATGTCAACAACAGGCATGTTCATTCATAACATGAAGGCCCATCAAGGATATTCAGCCAGTTACGCATCACCACCCTTAATGATGGCCCTCCTTACCTGTTTCTGTGACGCCCGTTGTCTCAAGGCAGGAGACAGTGTCCCTTGAGGAGTCAAAGAGCTTGGGTCCAAAGGACACCAGAATTCAGTTGCAAGTTCAAGAGCCAGAGGATCATTGTCATAAAGTTCTCCAATCTGTGAATAAATGATAAAAAAAGAAATGTTATCAAGTACTACTTTGTTAACCAGGAGCAGATGTAACAGCTTAAGAAGGAATTCACCAGAAGTTCAAGTAACAAGTGGACAGAAACTTTGTACTAAGATTATTTGCACCATATTGAAAACTTCTGTGCGACTGTTGTATATACAGGCCTGTGTAACCCTGTATCTTCTTAAAAGAAATCATTCCTAACAACAGCAAATGTCAAAAACATATTTTGAAGTTCATATGAAACACTTCGGAAAGTACTGGTGAAATGACACTGATGATGACATTTTACGTGTGTTTGCACGATTTCTCTGAACTTTGAAATTTATTTTCTTGAGTTCTAATGGAAAATTGTTTTTGGTGTTATTTCAAGCAATTATTTATAGCTTAAGCTTTTACAAAATGAAAAAAGGACTTTAATACATTTCACATTCTGGTTGTACAAGATTTTTGCCCACTAAAACCTGAAATTGCTTGATTTCCTACTGGATATTGTCTTAGCATAAATTTGTATTAAGTGCTTTATGGTTGTTATCAATTATTTATGATGATTATGCCACTAAGCCTTGAGCTCAAGCCAAACAAAAGTTTCTGCTTACTACTTACAAGTCTTTTTCATTGTTAACAGTTCAAACTATTCAGTTGTCCAT